CCAACAAAGTGAACAATCTGGAAGAAATGGATACATTCCTAGAAACACACAATCTTCCAAGAATGAATCAAGAAGAAACAGAAAATCTGAAGAGAACAATTACTACCAACTAAATCAAATCAATAATCAAAAACTCCCAATAAAAAAAAAGTCCTTAGACCATCAGCTTGACAGGTGAATTTTACCAAATATTCAAAAAAGAATGAACGCCTATTCTTCTCAAACTATTCCAAAAAATTGAAGAAGAAGGAAGGCTCCCTAATTCTTTTTATAAGGACACCATCACCCTGATTACAAAACCAGACAAAGACATTACAAAAAAAAGTAAAGAGGCAGATATCCCTGATGAACATAGATGCAAAAATCCTCAACAAAATATTAGTGAACCAAATCCAACATTATATCATGATTATGTGTAATTTATTCAATGGATGCAAGGTTGGTCCAACATACACAAATCAATTAATGTGATACATCACATTAACAAATTGAAAGATAAAAATCATATGATCATTATCAATAGATGCAGAAAAAGTGTGACAAAATCCAGCTGCAGAAAAAGTGTGTGACAAAATTCATTTATGATAAAAACTCTCAGTAAAGTAGGAATAGAGGGAACATACCTCAACATAACAGAAGCCATATGTGACAAATGCTCAGCTAACATCATACTCAGTGGGGAAAACCTAAAATCGTTTTCCCTAAGATCACGAACAAGACAAAGATGTCCACTTTCAACATTTTTATTCAACATGGTATTGAAAGTCCTAGCCACACCAATCAGATAAGAAAAAGAAGAAAAAGGCATCCGAATTGAAAAAGAAGTAGAACTGTCATTATTTTCAGATGACATGATACTATATAAAGAGAACCCTAAAGATTCCACCAAAAAAAACTATTAGAATTCATAAAAGAATTCAGTAAAGTAGCAGGATTAAAATTAATCAGAAATTGGTTGCATTTTTATATACCAATAATGAACTATCAGAAAGAGAAATTAAGAATACAAATTGAATTTGCAATTGCATCAATAAAATAAAATAAAATACCTAGGAACAAATTTAACCAAGGAGGTAAAAGACCTGTAATCAAAAAATTATAAGACACTGAAAACAGAAATTGAAGACGATACATATAAATGGAAGCATATACTGTGCTCACAGGTAGGAAGAATTAACATCGTTAAAATGCCCACACTACCCAAAGCAATTTATAGATTCAATGCGATCTCTATCAAAATACCAATGGCATTTTTCACAAAACTAGAACAAATAATCCAAAAATTTGTATGAAATCATGAAAGACCCTGAATAGTCATCGCAATCTGGAGAAAAGAAAACAAAGTTGGAGGTATTACACTACCTGATATCAAACTATAATACAAGGCTATAGTAATCAAAACAGCACGGTACTGGCATAATAGACACATAGATCAATGGACCAGAATAGAGAGCTCAAAAATAAACTCATATTTGTATGGTCATTTAATCTATGACAAAGGAAGCAAGAAAGGGATACAGACAGTCTATTCAATAAACTGTGTTGGAAAAACTGGACAGACACATGCAAAAGACAGGGAAAAGACATCCTACTGAATGAGAGAACATATTCACATCCGATAAGGGATTAATATCCAAAATTCATAAAGAACTCATAGAACTCAACACCTAAAAAACTAACAATCCAATTAAAAAATGGGCAGTGGACCTGAATAGACATTCCTCCCAAGAGGACATACAGATGGCCAATAGACATATGAAAAGATGCTCAACGTCACTAATCATCAGAGAAATGCAAATAAAAGTACAATGAGATATCACCTTACAGCTGTCAGAATGTCTATCATCAATAAATTAAAAAAAAACAAGCGTTGGCGAGGATGTGGAGAAAAATGAACCTTTGTTCAGTGTTGGTGGGATTGCAAATTGGTGTAACCACTATGGAAAACATTATGGAGGTTCCTCAAATAAATAAACATAGAACTACTTTATGACTCAGAAATTCCACTTCTGGGTATCTATCTGAAGAAATCCTTAACACTAATTTGAAAAGCTATACACACCCCCTATGTTCACTGCAGTGCTATTTCCAATAGCCAAAACATGGAAGCCACCTAAGTGACTATTAACAGACAATTTAATAAAGATATAGTACATATATACAATGGAATATTACTCGGCCATAAAAAAATGAAATCTTACTATTTGTGACAACATGGATGATGGACTTAGAAGGTATTATGCTAAATGAAATAAGTCATACAGAGAAAAAAAATACTATATGATCTCACTCAAATCTAAAGAACAAAATAAACAAAGAAAACAGAAACAGACTCATTGACACAGGAAACAAACTGGTGACTGCCAGATGTGAGGGAGGTTAGGGGACTGGGTGAAAAAGGTGAAAGCATTAAGAAGTACAAGTTGGTAGTTACAAAATAGTCACGGGGATGTGAAGTACGGCATAGGGAATATAGTCAATAATAATGTAATAATTGTGTATAGTGCCAAGTGGGTACTAGACTAATTGGGGGGATTGCTTCATTAAGTTATATTAACATTTAACTACTATGCTGTACACCTGAAACTAATATAAAATAATATTAAATGTGAACTGTAATTGAAAAATAAAAATAATAAAAAATAATAAATGAAAAAAGAAAGTAAAGAAAAAGAACTAGAACTATTTAAAAAATAATAAGTAAAAACAATAAATTGACATTGACTGAGCAAACATTTAATTCTGAGGAGCATTAGTGTGGCCTTCACAGTGTCTATAGCACACCCTTCCTTGTGATCTTATTCCTATGGGAACTGTTTTTACAATTCTTTGTGGTGTAGGAGACTAATAGAGATGCAGATATGTCCTGTCCAGTAGAAACAGTTCTCCAACTGTGAAAAACCAGTTTTCCTCAATTTGCATATTCATTTCAATACACCTGATCTTTAAATGTGCTCTTCAGATTCTCTTCTGAACTAGATATAAGATTTGTTTTTCTCATGAGTTAAATAAAATCTTTACTATGGGTTTTAAAAAATAGCATCCCTAAGTTGGTTCCCTCTGTACTCACAATACACACTCACATTTTTAAAAAAAGGCTTACCATAAATCTACAGTATTCAAGACAATGTGCTATTTGCAAAGAAATAGACACATAGGTTAATTGAACAGAATAGAGTCCAGGAATAGATTCACACAAACATGGACAATTGATTTTTGATAAAGGCAATTCAATGGAGAAAGCAGTCTTTTCAACAAAGTGTGTTGAAACAATTGGACACTCATATGCAAAAACAAAACAAAAACGCTTCCCACTTTATACAAAAAGGAACTCAAACCAGGTATTTGTTCTAATGTAAAATCACATAATTTTTAGAAGCAAACAGGAGAATTTGTCATGCCTGCAGTTAGGCAAAAAGTTCTTAGGACACCAAAAGTGTGATCCATAAAAGATAAAAACTGATAAAAATTTTAAACTTTTGCTTTGCAAAAGACACTGTTAAAACAATGTACAGGCAAACTACAGACTGGGGGAAAATATCTGCAAACCAGATATCTGACAAAGGATTTGAATGCAGAACATATACAGAGCTCTCAAAACTCAAAAGTAAATAAACAAACAACTCAATTAAAAAATGAGGAAAAGACTGTTAATGAACAGACCATTCATCAAAGAGGATATATAGATAGCAAATAAGCACAAGAAAAAAATGTTCATCATTAGTCATTTGAGAAATGCAAATTAAAATTATGATGAGCTACCACTATACACCTATTAGAATGGCTATAAAAAATAATGACCATAATAAGTGCTTACGAAGAATGGAACAGCCACTCTGGAAAATGGTTTGGCAGGGTCTCATAAAGTTCAAGTTAAATATACACTTACTATATGACCTAGGAATCCCATTCCTAGATATTTATGCTAGAGAAATGAAAACTTATATTCATACAAAAGCCTGTACACAAATGTTTACAGCAGCTCTATTCACATCACCAAAAGTTGGAAACAACTCAAATATCCTCTAGGGGTGGATGAATAAACAAATGGTGGTATATCCACACAATGTATACTATTCGGCAATGAAAACAAATGAATCATTGATAGATGAAACATGCGACAACTTGGAAGAATTTCAAAGGCATTCTGTTGAATGAAAAATGCCATTCTCAAAATATTACATTCTGTATGATTCCAGTCATATGTTATTCTCTAAAAGATATAGTAAAAGAGAATAGATTGGTAGTTGCCAAAAGACAGGGATAAATTTGGGTATGTTTACAAAGGCATAGCCTGAGAGATTTAGGGTGGTTCAACTATTATGATCCTGATTGTGATGGTGGTTATATTAATCTGTACATGTTTTAAAAATTCATAGAACTGAACACACACATACAAAAGTCAGTTCTACTGTATGTTAATTTAGAAAATAAAACTGAAAAACCCAGAGTGCAAATATAAATTAAATTGTTAAAAATAAAACTAACTTATTTTACTAACTTTTTTACTAACTTTTAGTTTCACAAGATGAAATCCCAGTCGAGCCCTTTTTTCACTATTAACAATGAAATATTGATCCTTGTTTTATGTGGAACTGCTTTAAGTAGTCTTTTTTTATTACCCATTATCCTTCACTAAGCAAGACATACTTTATATTAAAATATACACTGAAACAAAAAAAGAGTAGAAGTGATAATGCTGCAGTGATAATATAGCATGTTTCTCGGTAATGAGATTTAAAGTGACTTTTTTTCTTTATTTTCTAAATTTTCCAGAATAAGCTTGCATAATTTTGATAATCAGTGGATAAATGGTAAAGGACCCTTTCAATCCAGGCCTAGTAACGTTTTCTCAAGGAAACTTTGGGGCACCTGTATGTAAAAATGAGAAAACAAGCAGCTAGGAGGAGAGAAGGTAGGCAGCACACAAAAGATCAGATTTGCTGGTGGTACTAGTGAAGGTAAGAAAAGAGATGACTCTTAGGAGGAGGCTAGCTTACCTGAGACTGTTTGAAAACATCCTTCCCAACCACATCCAGGTTAGAGGGGTCTTTGATGGAACTAACATACTCAGATACAGCCTTGATCACCACATCACAGGGAGGAAGAACCAGCTGATGAGCTCGGACCTAGAAGACGTAAGATAAACAAGGAACACTGACTTCAGACATGAGTCACTAAGAAAAAGGATGAGGTTGAGGTGATATACAAAATTCAAATTCAGTAAATCCACTGAGAGAGTTAAAATCTGTTCTATAAAAAGTTTTCCCCCCAATTCTCAGCACATAATACTTGGAAAAGATTGAAAAGTATAAAAGAAAGATAAAATCATATCATTTATAATCCTATTACAGAGAAAGTCACTATTTTATGATGCTGCCATAATTAATCAGTTTACTTTCATGATATATTTTGGCTGCTTCCAATTTTTTGCTATTAAATGTAATGTTGTAATATGTGGACCATGTAAACTAACCACAAAAAGGCCTTTTTGAGACAATCAGGAAAACACACAAAAAAAGGACTAGATATTAAGACAATATCAAGAAATGATCATTAATTTTGTAAGGAGTAATAATTGCACTGTGTTTATGTATGAAAATGCTTATATGTTTTAGAGATGCATACTGAATGTGGGACTGAAATTACTTAAGGTATGGAATTTGTTTTAAAATATATTAGCAACAGCATCACAATAGTAATTGTGGCTATACCTTGATAACTGTTGGAGCTGGAAGATGTTACAACAGTATCTCACTATATTATATAATTTTCTCTACTTTTGTGATGTTTGAAAAATTTTTAAGTAAGGTTTTTTAATGCTGTGAAAAAATATAGGTATGATTTGTTGTCCATTTTCCAATTATTTAATTATAAGCATCCTTAAATGGTAATTACTGAGTCAAAGGATATAAACTTGAAGGCTTTTCATATAAGTTATTTAGGCAAAGGGCTGTACCATTCATTCCTTCAACAAATATTTACTGCCTACTGTGTACTAAGCATTGTTCTAGGCATCAGGGTTATAGCCATGAACAAGATAAACAAAGACTCCTGCCTTCCTGGAAGCTTACATTCTAGTATAGGTGTGTTGGGATGGGGTGAAGGGAATCTAACAAACAGAATAAATACATAAAATGTAGTGTGTTTGGAGAAAATCTAGGCAGAATAGGGGCTAAAGAATGCCAGTGAGTATGTTTGTGTGTGTGTGTGTGTGTGCGCGCGCGTACACATGTGCATATGATTCTAAATAGGGTGGTCAGGAAAGGCCTCACTGAGAAAATAGCACTCAAGAAAACCTACAGGAGTGAAGAAACACCTTTGTGGAGGGAAAAAGCCTTTCAAATAGAAGGAATCATAAGTGCAAAGGTTAGAAGAGCAAAAGAAAAGGGAAGATGAAATCAGCTGTTACAAGGGGCAAGACAGTACAGGGCTTTGTAGGCCATGGTAAAGATTGGGTGAGTGACATGAAAAGCCACTGGAGTATTTTGAATAGAGAAGCAACATGATCTAAGTCAGTTTCTAAAAGGATCACTCTGGCTGTTGTATTGAGAATAGATTAATAGATTGGGGGGGCGGGGGTTGATGGGGAAGAATGCAAGCAGAAGACCGATGATTAGTAAGCTGTTATAATAATCCAGGCAAGAAAAAATGGTGACTTGACCAGGGTAGTAGCAGGGAAAAATGATGGTATTTGCTGACATAAGAGATGTGGGACATGAGGAAGAGAGAGAAGTCAAGGATGACTCCAAAGGTTTTAGCTTGAGCAATTGTAAGGGTGAGGTTGTCATTAATGAAAATGGGGAAGGCTATGGAAAGAACAGATATAGGGAAAGGATCAGGAGTTTCCATTTGGACATATTTCTTTGAAATGTTTAATAGGTCATTAGATATTAGAATTTGGAGTTCACAGGGGAATTCAAAGCTGAAGACATATATTTAGGAGTCACCATTGGATAGATGGTCCATCACTGGATAGATAGAAAATCATGACACTAGATGAGATCAATCACCAAGGCAGCATCTGTAGATAGAAAAGAGAAGGGACTGAAGATAGAACTCTAGGACATTCCAAAGTTAAGAAGTAGAGAAGGAGATAAGGAAGCAGCAAAAGAGACAGAAGCAGCGGCCACTGAAGTTGGAAGGAAACCAGAAGAGAGTGGTGTCCTTAAAGCCACAGGAAGAAGATGTTCTATGGAAGAGAAAATGAACAACTGGGTCATATGCTGCTGACTGGTCAAGTAAGGTGAAAACAGAGAGCTGGCCAATGGATGTATTAAAATCAAGGTCATTCTGACTTTATTAAGAGCAATTTCAGCAAAGAAGACTGAAGAGAGAACAGGGAAAAGGAAAAGTAAACAGCTGAAGTATAGACACTCTCCAGAAGAGTGTGATATAAGGGAAGAATATGGAGCAGTAGCTTGGATGAAGTGAAGTCAAGAGCAGGTTTTGGAAGAGGGGAAATATGGCTTAGATGATAGAGGCTCTGTTCATCCCTCTGGCAACCAAATCAAAGTTGTGACAGAAACAAGGAGCAAGCAGCAAGGAAAATCACCTGGGAGCTAGATGAACAAGACACACAACTAGAGAGAAATTTAAGAAATTACCCTGCAACGGTAGAAGGTAGGATGGGGAGAGAACGTGAGGTTGTCCAGTCCCCAGCGGCTGAGTGAGACCGAGGCTGCAGCAGCGGCAGCGGCAGCGGCAGCGGCAGCGGCAGCGCCTCTTAAAGGGGCCGCATCCGCAGCGGACTTCTGTGGTTGACGGACCTGCTCGCTCTGAGCACCAGTGCCACTTCAGATGCACAGTGGCTTACAGGGTGACACTGAGTTGTCGGAGTGAGGGCCAGAGGTGAGACTCGCATGTACAGAAGTGGCAGCGGTATCCATTGTTCCTTGTTGAGCCCTCCCTGCTCCCAGTGCATGGACACAGCACCGCCATAGCCGAGATGCTATCAAACTGGATAAGAGGTTGCTCCGCCCCAAGGATCTCCTGAAACTGCCTCCTCCAACTTGCGGCTCCACCCCACCCACATCCAGGTGTATCCTCGGCAAGTCAGGTGCTCCTTGCTGAGCAGCGCCAAGACTCACACTGGTGGCAGCTGGACTCGGTTTCTGGTGTGGCCTTTTGAGGCAGCTCTAAGAACAGCATCTGTGGATTGCTTGCTAAATCTTAACAGGTGGCCTCGGAGTGACACAGACTTGGACTAAATTTAGCCTGCAGCTAAACCCCTCTCAGGACTGTGCCACTGGACACCTACTACACAAAGCCATACTAATAAGACCGGGAGACTTAGAAGCTTAGCTTAGTACATAGAAACAAACACAGAAAGGCAGCCAAAATGGGAAGACAAAGAAGCAGAAACCATATGAGAGAACAGAGCAGAGATCCAGGAATAATGGAGTAAAGCAATCAAACAGATACAGAGTTCAAACCACTGGTTATAAAGATGCTCAGTGAACTTAGGGGAAGGGTAGATGAATTCAGTGAGAACTTCAACAGAGATATAAAACATAAAAATGGAAATGGAAATTATAAAAGGGAACCAGTCAGAAATGAAGAATACATTATCTGAAATGAAAAGTATATTAAATGGAATAAACGAAGGAATAAACGAAGTGAATAAAGATCAAATGACCTATATAGAGGATGGGAAAGCCAAGGACACTCAATCAGAATGGCAAGAAAAAAGAAGCCAACACAATAATAATAATTTAAGGAGCCTATGGGACACTATTAAAGGTAAAACTATCCATGTCATCGGGGTACCTGAGGGAAAACAAGATATTGAACAGCTATTTGAAGAAATAATGATGGAAAACTTCCCTAACCTGGTGAAGGAAATAGACATAAAACCCCAAGATGCTCAGAGTCCCCAAAACCAGGAACCCAAAGAGGCCCACACCAAGACACATCATAATTAAAATGCCAAAGGTTAAATACAAAGAGAGAATCTTAAAAAGTAGCAAGAGAAAAGCAGTTAGTTACATATAAGGGAGCATCCATATGACTGGCAGCTCATTTCCCAAAAGACACTAGGCAGTACAGCAGGGCTTGGCACAAAATATGTGACGTGATGAAAACCCAGGATCCACAATCAAAAATATTTTATCCAGCAAAGCTATCATTTAGAGTCGAAGGACAGATAAAGAGCTTCCCAGACAAAAATAAGCTAAAGGAATTTATCAACACCAAGCCAGTATTACAGGAAATGTTGGAGGGACTTCTTTAGGAATTGAAAAACGTGTATCAAAAACATGAATAAGAATGGTAATAACTAGCTCTTTCTGCCATCTTTCCGTGCCGCCATAATGGTGAGCATGAACGTTCTAGCTGATGCACTCAAGAGCATCAACAATGCTGAAAAGAGAGGCAAACACCAGGTTCTTATTAGGCCATGCTCCAACGTCATCTTCTGGTTTCTGACTGTGATGATGAAGCATGGCTACGTTGGCAAATTTTGAAATCATTGATGATCACAGAGCTGAGAAAATTGTTGTGAACTTCACAGGCAGGTTAAACAAGTGTGGAGTGATCAGCCCCAGATTCAATGTGCAATTCAAAGATCTAGGAAAATGGCAGAACAACTTGCTCCCATCCCATCAGTTTGGTTTCATTGTACTGACAACTTCAGCAGGCATCATGGACCATGAAGAAGCAAGATGAAAACACACAGGAGGGAAAATCTTGGGATTCTTTTTCTAGGGATGCAATATATATGTTCAAATAAAATGCCTCAGTGGACAAAAAAAAAAAAAAATGATAATAACTACATTCCTATCAACAAGTACCTTAAATGGAAAAGAATTAAGTGCTCCAACCAGAAGAAAGAGTGGCTGAATGGATAAGAAAACAAGATCCCTACATATGAGGCCTACAAGAGACTCATTTCAGATTAAAAGATACACGTAGACGAAAAGGAAGGGGATGGAAAAAGATATTGCCTTGATGGACCTAGAGGGTATTGCATTGAATGAAATGGGTTAGATAGAGAAAGATAAATATTGCATGATTTCACATATATTTGGAATCTAAAGAACAAAATCAACAACAAAAGTGGAAATAAACTCATAGATACAGAGAATTTTTTTAAGGATACTAGATGGGACGGGGGTTAGGAGAGAAAGAGGGCAAAGGGATTGAGAGGTGCAGGCAGATGGTTGCAGAGTAGACATGGAGATGTAGAGTATAGCATGGGAAAGATGGTTAATAATGTTGGAATGAATATGTGGGGGAGGAGGGGTGCTAGATTTGGTGGTGTGAGTTGTGCTTTGCGAGGTGTGTGGATCTCTGATCAATATGCTGTACAGCTGAGGCTGCTGTGTTGTATACCAACTATAATTGAAAAAAAAAACTCATTGAATTGTACAATGTAAATGCAGGCAACTCGTTGTCTATTATATTTCAATAAAGACAGAAAAAAAAGAGCAGGTTTTGTTTGATGTTTTAAGATGGGTGCATGCTTATACATCTGATGGGAAAGAGCGAATGAAGAGAGGGAAACTGATGACACAGGATAAAGAAGGGAGAATTGCAATAGTGATACCCCTAAGTTAGCTAGAATGAATGGGATCTAGTGCTAAGAGTGTAGGAGTTGGCCTTAGATAGAAACATGGACAGGTCATCCACAGTAAATAGAAGGTAGGCAAAGCATCTGGGCATACAGATGCATGCAGGAGAGAAGATAAAAGGATTGGCGCTAGTAGAAGTTCTCTCCTCATTGCTTCTTTTTTCTCAGTGAAATAGGAAGCCAAGTCATGAGCTGAGAGTGAGCAGGGATGAAGGAGCATTAGAGGCTTGAAGAGAGAGGAAAACGTGTGAAATAACTATCTAGGAGAGTAAAAGAACTAGGGAAATATAACACAGTCACTAACTTACACTACCACGATAGAAGTAGGTAGATTAATTTTTCAATATTTGCTAAACTGTTAGGTTAAAAAAAATCACACTGCTCATTTAATTTGCATGTCTGATCACTAGTGAGACTTGGCATTTAGTCACACAATTGGCCACTGTATTTCTTCTTTTATGAATTGTCTGCTTCTGTCCTTTGCTCACTACTTCTTTTATTTGGGGTATTAGTATTTTTCCTCATAGGCTGGAACAAATCCTTAAGATATTAAGGGTGTGAGATAACAGAAAATACATATTGGTCTCTGCTTCCAGTTCCTGGCACAGAGCTTCTGAAACCCCTGCAATATCCTAAGTAGTAAGAGCACTAGGAGCACCTTTTGTGTTATTGAGGTGACTCTGGGTGGGCTCCTGGATGGCTCCTAGATGAGAGCTGGTCACCGGAAGCCTGGAACTTTTAGCCCCACTCCCATTCACTTGAGAAAGGAGAAGGGCTGAAAATGGAGTTAAGGACTGATCGTGTCTACATGATGAAGCCTCCATAAAATCCCCAAAGTATGAGGTTCGGAGAGCTTCTGGGTTGATGAACATATCCACACTTGGAGGATGAGACACCCCAACTCCATGGGATAGAAGCTTCTGGGCTTAGGACCCTCCCAGACCTTACTCTATATATCTCTGCATCTGGCTGTCCATCCTGTATCTTTTATCATACCCATTAATAAGCTGGTAAACCTAAGTAAGTGTTTCCCTGAACTCTGTGAGTGGCTTTAGCAAATTAATCAAAACCAAGGCAGGGGACAATTGTTGGAACCTCAAATCTACAGCAGGTTGGTCAGAAGCACAGGTGATAACCTGGGCTTGCAACTTGTATCTGAAGTGGCAGGGGGGGGGGCAGTTTTGTGAGACTGAGCCCTTAACCTGCACCTGATGCCATCTCCAGGTGGATAGTGTCAACAATGAGTTGAATTATAGGATACCCATCTGCTATTGCAGAGGACTTTTGATATGAAAACACAGACCCACACACACATACATTCAGTGACTAGAAATATCAGAAATGACATATTCTGTGTGAGTGTAGCAGTAGTGTGAAAGTAAAGGAGCCACACAGGAAAGAAAGACATAGGAAGGAAGAACTCACAGAAGGTAGAAAACTGAGCTTTTCCTTTTTAAAGGGTATTGATCATAATTATAAATGTTTGTATTTGGAATATTTTAAACCTAATGAAAGATAATTATTGTATCAAAACCCCAATCAAAACCTGATGTCATGGATGTATACACAAGAAATGGGGCACATTACCTTAAGTGATGCAAGGGGATGTTCTGGTCCTAAGAGGCTCCAGTGAAAAGCAGCCAGGTCCTCATCTGGGAGAATGTGGTTACCTATAAAGCACATTTGTCATTTATTGACTGTACAAATGTTTTCTTAGAACTTCCAGCCATGAAAAGGCTTCTGGGAGAGAAAATGATTAAATAATTCACATAAGTCTATATTCCTAATGACTAATTCCTAAAGACTACAGTAGCTATGTGTTGATTACCTATGTATCACATGCATTACATGTACCATCTTTATAATAACAATGTATGGTAGCATATTTTCGCCATTTTACAGATAAAAAAATTGAGGTTTGGAAAAGTTTGGTGATGTAACCTAAAGTGGCACGGTTAATAAGTGCCAACTCCAGGATAAAAAGCTAAGGACTGTGAAGCCCATGATATTTTCTATCACCTAGTCATGCTGCCTTTTATAATAGCAGCCACCAATTACTGCCTGCTTCATAAGTGCTGGGCATTTTATATACCAAATTATATTTGACCTTATCAATAATACCATGAGGTATTATTATTCCATTTCACAGAGGAGGAAACTAAAACCGAGGAAGTGTAACTACAGTGATTTGCCCAAGGCCTAATTCCAAAACTTGTGCTGACTCCTCCATTAGATCACTCAAGTTCAACTCCTTTGGAATTATAAACAGAGTTCACACCTGAGACAAGATATTAACCTTCATGCTATCAATACCTGGAAAACCAGCTCAAAACGTAATCAATTCTGCAATTTACTTCGAAATATGTCTTTAAAAGAAAGATGGATTGATGGTTAGAATGGAAAGATATATGATAAAGCAAATATAGTAAATGTTAATGGCAGAAAACAGGGGGTAGATACAGGATTTTCACTGCAAAATTCTTTCAATTTTGCTGTAGCTTTGGAAATGTTCATTATAAAATGTTAGCACAACAGAAGCAAAAATAAAAACAATTTGTATTCTCGATCAAAATTTAAGACACCAGAGAAAAATGCCAATGCTCTGACTGGGAAATCAAAGCTGTCTAGGGCTAGTAAAACATTTGGCCTAAAATAGTACTCTGCATAAAATAGGTATGGAATTTTACAAAAGAGTTAACAAGAATCAAAATAATGTTCTGGAATATCCTGTATTAATTCATAAGACAAACATGCTGAGTTTCTAGTAAGAAGCCCAGAAGCACAGTGGCATGTGAACTTTCAAAAGATAAATCCAATAATGATAGGCTAAATTGTTCTGGTCTTCATCTTTTATTACCAAAGGGCAAACTTTACTAATCACTGGAGTCTGTTCTTTGGACTACCTACCTAGCAGTGCGGCAAATATGGGAAAATTCATCCGCTTCAGGCCCAGCTGCTTGGCCACCTCCTGCATCAGGAACTGGTTGGTAGTGAGGTTCTTCCCATTCCAGCTGAGCTTCAGAGCATGGGAACTGTAGTAAGAGGGAATATTGTAGAGCGCATACTCGGAGTCATGGGCAAGAAGGCCATGGAAGCCATTTTCCCTGAAAAAAGCTACCACTTCCAAGTGGTGGTCTTCGAGGCTCTGAAAGACCTAGGAGGGAAGGAGAAAATAACAGGTCACACAACAGAAGCTGACCTGTATTTGGTTAGAAGTCAGGAAGGTTAGTAACAAATTTTATAGTTTGTTGAAACTTAAGATTACACGAAGCTACAGAGAATACTTAAAAAAAAAAAAAGCCTTTCCTATATATCCAGGCAGCATTATCTACGGGTTCATTCAAATGCCCAGTCTTTTTTGACTCCTTTCATGAAACTGAGGCCTGAGGCTCTTCAAAAGAATACTGAAATTAACATAGTATATAAATTCTTACTTTAGACAATAACAGAAGAGACCTTTGTTAGAAAGATAATAAAGCTATTATTTATTGCTCAGCACCTCTACATGCTGTGCATTCTTTACATACATTATTTCATCATCTCAATAACCATGGGCAAGGTAGATAAGGATGAAATAACTTATACAAGGAAATGGACACAGAAAGGTTAATCTGAATCTGAATCTAAGTTCTGAATCTAAGTTCACCTCTTTTTTAAAATCCTTGCTTTCTTGCTTAGGAGCAGTTTAGATAGCAGGACACCCAAATAGGGCACTTCCGACATGTAGGGGTCACAAACTTCACCCATTTTAGAAATGGGAAAACTAAGGTTGCAACAGGTTGGCTACCCTCAAAGTTACATAATGACTGAGTGTAGACAGGATTCAAACTCAGGCTGATCCGACTCCAGAATGCACTTTCCACTATACCAGGCTTCCTGGAGAGCACTGTTTTTTTACGAACAGAGGGAGACTGCTATGTGACCTTTCTATTGCTGCACTTAGAGCATATTGAAATGATCTGCATACTGATTCCACCACACTTTCTTGACCGCACAGACTTTATTTATCTCTGTATTCCTGGTTCCTACATAAGACCTGGAACATAGTATAGTATGAATAATAATGGCTAAAAGATACTAAACATGTACTATGTGCTAAACAATGTTCTGAGTACTTTACATGCATTAACTCATTTAATACTCGACACAATCTTATGAGGCCATAACTATTATTCTTATACCCATTTTACATTACTATCCCTAAGGTCACATGGCTGGAAGAAACAAAAACTGGATTTTGGCTCTAGAGCCTGTGGACCTCAATAATTTTGTTGAACTCAAGTGACCCATTTCTTAATTTAAATTGCAAAGGAATGGTAGTTTTCTAGAGTCTGACAGTAGTTTCAATGCATTAAGCTGTTGCTAGGCCATGAAAAGAGAATCTAGTCAGAGTTGACAGCCATGAGTAGACAGTAAGTCACACAAGGGGAGGGACACTGGTAAGCAGATAGCGAAGCAAGGTCTGTGTTTGATATCCAGACAAAGGAACCAAAAACCCTTACTTTGTACTGCAACATACTTAGGCCTAGAGTTATGATTAACGCTAGATGGGTCAGAGTAGTACAGTCTTATGCTGCCCCCTAGTGATAGTTTCTTTCAGCATACCTGTCATATAAGTCACTGAGCATCCATCTCCCTTATACCAGGCATAGTCCTAAGTGTGATATGTTCTCCCCCATCGACACAACCTAACCATGTAGGCATTATAAGCCCCATTTTACAGATGAGGAAACTGAGGCTTATAAAAGTGAGGTGCCATGCTCAGGGCCACAGAGCTGGGAAACAGAAACCTGGGTCAAAATGACATCAAAGTCCACGCTCTTTCTGCTACAACATATTACCTTTAGCTGTTCTAGATCTGATTATGCCAACATCCAAGTGATTTCAACTCCAGAAAGCCAAGGACTAATGATGTTTAACTAATCTGGTGACTCCTATAACACTAGGAATTTAAATCACAATCACCTGGACAGCATTTTCAAAATACACAAACCTGTGCCACATCTCCACTAATGGCAATTAAATTCTGACCAGGGCAAAGAAAAAGCCTTCCAGCCACAATGCCTCCTAGAATAAACAGCTGAGCATCTTGGCTGCACTTCTACATCTATGATGACTACTACCACCTATAAGCAGAATGACTTCCTGTTCCTGGCCCAAACTGATCCAGTTTAGTTGTCAACCTTGCAAATTTGCAGGGAATAAAGTGATTTAGGTGAAATTAAACAAAATACCCAAACAACTAATCAGAAAAGTACATTTGAGCTTTAAAGAAAGTGAAAGTTGAGATTCTGAACAACTGTCTATAACTTTTAATTGCTGGCTCACTTTTTAGTCTAAGAACTATGAATTGAGGGTCCACTAAGTTCCAGGATGCAGATAGCACAGAATGCCATGGTAACACAGAGGAAAGGCATCTAATCAGTGGGGTAATGTCATCTAGAGGAACAAACACTTATTTATAAAATTCAGGGGAAAACAACTCTCTGAGAGTTTAATGTCTCAGTTCAATCACAAGTAGTCTAAAGCAATGGCTTTTAAATTGTGCTTCCCAAACCAGGATTTGGGTAGATGCGGAATTGGACCAAATAACCAGACAGGACAGGTGTTCCACTTTCTCTTCAGTCCGAACTCATATTCTCCATTTTATCTATTTTATACTTTCGTTCTTTCAGAAATATTTTATTGAAACAATTAGAAGTATATAGGAAATATAGTCAATAATATTGTAATAACTATGCATAGTGCCAGGTGGGTACTAATCAAAGGGATCACTTAGTAAAATTATGTCTAACCACTATGCTGTACACCTAAAGCTAATATAATATCAAATGTCCACTCTATTGAGAAATAAAAATTAAAAATAAATTTAAAAAATAAAAGTAAAAACAATGAGAAGTATTTATCACTAAAATGTAAGCTTCAAGAAGGCTGAGATTTCTTGATCTGTTTTGTTTACTGCTGTATTTCTGGTGCATAAAACACTGGCACAGAGTAGAGAACCAATGAACCATTTTGACTTTCAACCAATATTTACTGAGCCAGGAATTGATACACACCAGGCACTAATCTAGGTGTGGGGATACAGCAGTGAACAAGAACCCCCAAATTCCTATCTTTATGGAGCCGACATTCTAATGATTAATATTTCACAACAGGCACTGGACTAAGCAATTTAAGACATATCTCATTTATCCTTCAAACCCTGTGAATGGGTATAATTAAACCCCTTCTTTTTGTAAAAACAAAAAAATTAAATATCTTGCTCCAAATCACACAGCTAGACATAAGGCAGAACTTGGATTTGAACTCAGTAGGGTCTGGCTACAAAATAATGCTTTCTTTTTGGAATCTGTCAGTTTTCCCAACACCACTTACTAAAGATACTGTCTACCCCATTGTATATCCTTGCGTCCTTTGTATAGATTGACTATACAAGTGAGAATTTATTTCTGGGCTCTCTATTCTATTCTATTGATCTATATATGTTTTCATGTCAGTATCATACTGTTTTGATTATTGTAGCTTTGTAGTATATTTTGAAATCAGGGAGCGTGACACCTTCCACTATTCTTTCTCAAGACTTCTTTGCCTATTCAGGGTCTTTTGTGGTTCCACATAAATTTTAAGATTAGCTGTTTTAATTCTAAGAATGTCATTGGTATTTTAATAGGTATTGCACTGATTTGTCTATCGCTTGAGGTAGTAAGGACATTTTGACAATACTAATCCTTCCAATCCATGAGCATGGTATATCCTTCCATTTATTTGTATCCTCTTCAATTTCCTTCTTTGATGTCTTATAGTGTTCAGAGTAGAGGTCTCTCGCCTCTTTTGTTAAATTTATCCCTCAGTATTTTATGCTTTTTGATGCAATTATAAATGGTTTGTTTTCTTAATTTCTCCTTCTGATTTTTCATTATTGGTGTAAAGAAATGCAACAGATTTTTGTATAATGATTTTGTATCCCACAACTTCATTGAATTTATTTATGATTCTAATAGTTTTTTGTTTTTTTTTTTGGTGGAGTCTTTAGGGTTTTCTATGCATAGATCATGGCATCTGCAAATAGTGAGAATTTTACTTCTGCCTTTCTGATTTGGATGCCTTTTATTTCTTTTTCTTGTGTAATTGCTGTGACTAAAATTTCCAATACTATGTTGAATAGAGGTGGTGATAGTGGGCATCCCTGTCTTATTTCTGATCTTAGAGGAAACGTACAAAAAAACTGAAAACTGGACCACTTTCTTACACCATATACAAAAATAAATTTAAAATGGATTAAAAACTTAATGTAAGACCTAAAACCATAAAACTCCTAGAAGATAACAAGGCAGTAAACTTTGACATCAGTCTTAGCAACACCTTTTTGGATATGTCTCCTCGGGCAAGGGGGAAAAAAAAGAAAAAAATAAACAAATAGGACTGCATCGAACTAAAAAGTTTTTGCACAGCAAAGGAAACCATTAACAAAATGAAAAGACAACTTACTGAATGGGAGGAGATATTCACAAATGTTATATCCAATAAGAGGTTAATATCTAAAATATATAAGGAACTCATACAACTTAACATAAAAAAAATCCAATTAAAAATTGGGCAGAGGACTTGAATAAACATTTCTCCAAAGAGAATATACAGATGGCAACAACAGATATACGAAAAGATACTCAACATCACTAATCATCAGGAAAATGCAAATCAAAACCACAATAAGATACCATCTACCTCACACCTGTCAGAATGGCTATCATCAGAACCCAGTGGTTACAAGACTTATCAGGGTGATCATTTTGTCAGTTATATAAATGTCTTATCACTATGTTGTACACTTGAAACTAATATAACATTGTATGTCAACTGTAATTGAAAAATAACATAAAACAAAAAATTAAAGAATAACAAGAGCTGGTGAGGATATGGAGAAAAGAGAACCCTTGTACACTGTTGATGAGATTATAAATTGGCGCAGTCACTAAGGGAACCAGTATGGAGAGTCCTCAAAAAATTAAAAATAGAGCTGCCATATGACCCAGCAATACCACTTCTGGGTATTTACCCAAAGCAAACAAAAACACTAATTCGAAAAGAAATATGCACCCCTGTGTTCATTGCAGCATTATTTACAATAACCAAAATATGGAAGCAACCTAG